TCCACGTGCCTAACAATCCGACGACCCAGATCTCATCCTATGTGCGTGAATGGCCCAAATGCATTCTTTTTTTAGACGCGATCAGACGAACGAGATAGATCGTGATGGATGACTCGGATTCGCCCACGCCATCTGTCTAAATGAAAAACTATCGAACAGTCCTCCTCACTCCACATCGACGCAAACGGACGACTCAGATAAAAGAAGAAAGGGTATTTAAGCCCCTATTTATAGGGAAACCTAACCCTAACAGCCACCCCCCTGCTGGAGAAGAAGAACCCGACGTTAGAGAAGAAGACCGGCTCCCAACTGTCACTGCACCAGAACCACCACCGACTGTCAAAAAAGGTCAAATTTTTCCTTTCTCACTTAAAATTCGATTTTAAATCTCCTTGTGGTCATATTGGAGAAAAAAATGATGGGTGAGCCAGAAATCGTGGGCAAAACCTGACGGAGCCACTACGACCAAAATCTTAAAATCTCTCCGTTGAGCCCCTTCCTATTTTCCATTTCATACGATTCTTTGACCATTATGTTCATCGTCCCTTTCTGTTCAGATTAGCTAAAGGAGAAACCCCAACCACGAAGGAGAACCGGTGGAATCGCTGCACCCGGAGACCCCTCCCCTAGTTGGTAGGTTCAGTTTTTTTATTTTTCTGACCAACTGAGGCTTCTTAACGTGTTTCTTCACAGGGGTATGTATAAAACCAACCAAAATCAGCTAAAATCGGCCAGACCAAAGTGAACCACTGCCGTGAGCGGCGTCGGTGCCGTGTTGAAACCCTAAAATTGGCCGAAAAGGATTTTTGACACCGATTTTAAATTTTTGGGGTATATTTTGAATATGTAACGAGTATTTTGATTCCCGTAGAAAAAATTCAAAAAAATCTGAGGCCCACTAGAAAGTGTAATGGGTAACACAATGTTTCAAAAAACCGATCCCGGTAAGTATCCCTCAGCCTATTCTCTATTACGATAAATTGAGACTTAATAATTAATAATCTCGTATTTTGTGAAAACTAGAAAAAATCAAATAATAATTACCGATTACTAGTGGAGGCAGAATCAGTCAGTGTACGATTGCCCTAGTTTACTATTATTTTCTCTTGTATTACTTAAAATATTTACTATTAATTTTTGTGCATTAAATTGCTAGTTTAAATTGTGTTCTCTGTTATTTGGTTTATTTGGGTTCTCCTGTACTGATTATTTAGTTATCTGATTACTTGATTATTCGGTTATGTAAATTGTATCGCTTGCTTATATGTCGTTTAAATTAATATGTAAATGTGTAACATGCGATTTGTGGTTATTTCCATGACGAGAATCTATATATATGAAAGCTTACAGGGTGCCCTAGGAAATGGTGGACGGACTCCGTACATAGGGAACCTTACTGTAAACATTACCTAAATCAGACAGGGCTGAGAAGTTCCTACTGGAAGGGTTTGGAAAAGATAGTTCACCTCATATCGGACGGGGTATCGAGGGAATGACATGTTGGTGCCCATTACTAGACGGAGTATGGGGACAAGGCAAGTTAATTGTCAAATCGAGATACTAGATTCATGAGTAGATGAATATCCCTATAAACTCCTAGGAGTTCTAGTAAGTAGGTTGAAAAGAAAGAATTACTGATCTTATATATAAAATTAAAATGTCATTTGGTTACTTGTATTCATAGGTTGACTTTGGAAAAACTCGTAACAGTAAGTATAGAATAAAACGTTTTAAAGTTAAATGTATCTACTTAAATTAAAGGTTTCATTAATTATTTTGTAATTTTTATTAACCTTCGATTTTCTGTATCAATGATTAGTGTGATATTCTTACTATATTAGTATAGCCTATCATTTTATTAACCATTTCATATCAAGAAAACCAAGATCCAGATCCCGATCAGCAAGAGGGTTGTGAATAGATCACCTCCCGGACTCTCCTTCAAGTACTAGTAGATGTTAACCTCTTAGGATATCTATTTATTTATTTTGATTATCGTTTGTCTTTTTTTATGAACTAATATAGAAGAGACATTTCCATAACCCTATTGGACATTCAAATTTACTATATAAGGAATGTAAACTTTAATTTTATTGTTCGCTTCTGCATTAAGATAATAAACCCTTTTCTTTTAGTTTCGGACTTTTACAGGAACAACTTTGTATTCAAAGCTTCCTTTTTGTTTTCCGGTCTGGTGCCTCCGCGACACTCCTCCCTCCGCTGCTATATTTTCTTCTCTTCCCCCTTCTCTTCCCCCTTCTCTTCCTCTTTCGCTCTCTCCTTTTCCATCTCTTTTCTTCTTTGAGTTGTGAACCATTATATTGGCTTCTAAGCGATCTAATCTTGGTTGTATATTCTTGTCCCCTACCACCTACACATCATTTTTAATATTTATGATTTTGACCCTTTTTTTGTAAATTGGTTCAAAAAAGCCCCGAAAACCTTAATTTATGTAAATTTGGTTTTAATTTAGTTTATAAATTCCTTTTTCGAATGTACTAAATTCGTAGATATTACATTTATATATATTATTAAATTTACTTTTATATTTTAAAATTATATTGTGTATAATTTATACTCAATTAGAAATTAAATTTTATTTTGTACATGTTAAAAACAAAATGAGGCATCCACTCAACCAAACAACTCAATTACGATCAAATAATTATTGATCAAGCTCTAATTTGAAATAGTATTTTTGTTAAAGTTATGATTTTTCTAAAAGTCCTCTTATACAAGATTACCTTTAGTGATTGTTTAAAAAATATATAGATTTTGATATATAAATTAATGAAAATATCTTTATAACAATTATCATCAATATTATAATAAACATCATTAAACTAATATAACACATATAATGTCATAAAAAGTATTTTCAATTAAAGTAATATAATAGTTATAATAATTACAAGATATAACTTTTATAATGTTTATGTATTACTTATCAAAATTAAAGAAAAAAAATAATTCTCTCAATATTAGAAAGAAACTCAATTTATTAATATTCAATAACGCTACTCTATAAATGGATAAAACATAAATATTACTTGAAAGCTCATTGAAATATCATACAAAGTCCAAAGTTATGTGTTTTACTCACAAAGAAACAATATCATACTAAACATATTAATATTAACATGTTATATTGAATACGATTATTTTCCATTAGTGAATACAAAATAAAAATATTTCTTTAAATTTTTTAATATATTTAATAACTTGATATATTATATATTTGTCATTATTAACGTGATATTAATAGTATTAATGGGACAACCCTCTTGTTGATCGAGATCTGGATCTTAGTACTCTTGATATGAAATAGTTAATGAAAGAGTGAGCTACACTAACCCAGTAAGAATATCACACTACTCACCGATACACTGAAGGTTGGTAAAAATCATAAAAACAATCAATGGAGCTCTTGATTTAAATAAATTAATTTCTCATAAGGAAAATAATTTATTACATATATTTACCATTGTGAGATTTTCAAAATCAACCTATAGAGATCATAACTCAAATAACATTCTAATCTCATATTCAAGTGAGTAAGAACAATATTTTTTTATTATTTGCCTAC